GGGAATACAAGCTGTGGGCATACAACTCGAGGACACGTTTTGGCCTACATGATATGGGAAAGAAGGTATGTACGTTTCATTCTCATGTACCTGCTTTGGCGTAGTAGATATGTATATAGGCAATTCAGAAACATCTTCACCAGTTAAAAAAAATTCAGGTCATCGTCATCAGTTATCTCCATTACACAAACTTTAGTTTTAAAATGATATACGCGTCTAATTATAATATCGAACTGAAGGGGGTTTATATTACTCAATCTATACATGTGACCTAGAAATTCTCTGTACGTGGTTGTACTATCCACTGTCAATCCTCTCGTGCGACCACCAACGTAATCTTTTTCACTATCGTTCCATTCTCCACCAAATGTTATGAAAACACGAGGCAACCTGCAAATATATAAAATCAAGTGAGATAAGATTATGTCCAAAAAAAAGTGGTAAAAAAATAACAAAATACATGTCATCTCGGACCAGTCTTGGTCCGAGACATATCCCGGACCACAGTGCTTCGAGATTGGTCCGGGATGTATCCCGATTCACTCCCGAACCATCTTTCGATCCGGGATTGAATATGATTTGTCCGGGATTGAATTCAATCCCGGACCTCGAAGCTTCAATCTCGTAACAATACTTGGTCCGGGATACCGACTGCATTTTTTTTCTTTTTCCAAGAAGACAAGTGAAAATGTATGAATGGAAAATATTTCAAATCATTTCAGAAATTTTTATATTAACGTACCTCTAACTCTTCAAATGTGAAAATGTGGGACAACGATTTTAGATAGTGTGGGGACAATGATCAAACACGTGGCAATGTTTCTTTCTCGGATTTTAAAAAACGTGATTTGTGAAGAGTTTGGATGGTGTGAAAATTTTGGATTGTTTCAAACTCAAAACATAAGTAAAATATGAGGTTAAAAGTTTGATGAAATGATTGGGTGGAAGTTAATGGGGAAGTTAATGCATCATAAATAAAGGTATATTCGTCTTTTCACTAAAGATGAGTTTAAAATTAAGTAGGAGTGGGATGAAAAATTAGGTTTTTTAAAAGGAGTTTAAAACTATTGGTGGGGTCAAAAACCCCAATTTCCCCGGAATAAAACGGAAGATTGAAGTACGTTAGAGGCAAAATAAAACAAAACGATAAAAAGATTGATTCCTTCTAAGAGGTTAAGGCACGGCCATAGGTTCCTCATCTGTCTTGTCTGAAACACAATTTCAATTTATTGTGCCCAATTCCAATCGCTTAAAACGACGCCGGCCTCCGTCGATATTTCCCATTCCGCCATGGAACCCACCTCCGATTTCCTCCAAAGTCTCGCCGATTCTCTCAATTTCTTGTTTCCATGGCGGTGGATCCACGGCGGCGACAACCAATCGCGATTTCTGTTCACCGCCTTCGCCGCTTTACTGATT